CAATTAGTCCCTAAGGCATGACACATATTCCTTATTCAAATTTGTTAAGCAAGTTAATAATTTTTTTTACACAGTTTGAAATTTTAATATGTTATATATGGCTACACGACTTTATACCATTTAGCACGATTCATTTTTATATGATCAATGTGTTTTTTACACGACTTTTTCTGGAACCAAACTGTTATACGCAAGGGCGTAGGCAGCTTTTACCAAAAGGGGGGGGCCAAAAAATTAAAATTTTGATTAAGTAATGCACGATGTATTTAAAAAAAAACGTATGCATATGATCAATGAAAAAACAACAAATCCAACTCAAATCCATTTTAAGGCGAAATAGTGTTTCATAATAATGAACGTGTGGTCGACTTACTTCGTCGAAATACTTATATTAGCAGCCAGAATTCGTTCTCTTTAGTTATTTGTAAGTGTATTAGAATTCGAATTATTTTATTAACACAACCGAACAAGCTTGAAACATTCTTGCATTCTTGTTGATACAACTAATCCTATTAAAAATTGTGGATTGTGGTTGAAGCAACTCATGTCGCCATTGGAGAAACAAGATTCAAGATTCAAGATTTTTCAGCATTCTTCGATTTATGTATATACAAGTATGTATGCATAAATAAAAGATATATATAATCTCCTACATCGATGGAAGTGGATAATAGGAACCGCAAAACTTTAAACAAAGGTGCCTAATGAAGTTCTTACGTTTTCTTTTTGGATTACTAATGGTTCCTTCACAAAGAGATGTGATCTAATAACTATTATTCATTTCATTTATTCATTAACTAATCTATCATTTGTTTCCACACAAACCAAATATAGGCTATGCACATAAAAAATATAATACTGCTTACTACATACAAATGTACATTCTTAGCTTGCGAATACCATTTGTGCAAACTTGTAATTTCGTCAATTTTCTCCAAACGACTGCAAGGATATCGAAAAGTTAGAAACGCGAGCGTGCCCAAATGTTTGCCACTCTAAATAATGTCATCTGTGGCTTTACTCGCTCAGTGAAAGTTATTGAAAGCTAGTAACTAGTTCCCAAAAACTGTAGGGTAGCGTGCGAGTTATTTGTTCAAAAGGACCACTTTTAGAGCCTTTGGGTGGCTACAGTTACTGTGCTTTATGTAAATTTTAGCTGCTGGTCTGCAGTACATTGTTTGTGGGAGTACTCATATGTGTGCGCGTTTCAATTTAAACGTTGCGGCATTTGCCGTTTGTCGGCATTTCCGAGCCCCCTCCAGCCTCCACTCCTCCGGCAAAGGCATCCACAAACCACGCCATCCTTTGCCACTCACGTAACACACACAACACCTGCCTTTTTGTCTGTAAGGGCGTGTGCGTGTGTGTGTGTGTGTCTGTCTCTGTGTGTGCGTGGGAATTAATTATGCAGGCGTATCATGACAGCCACTGCCCCATACAGAAGCCTCCCACATCCCCCGTTGTGCCACACCAGGCTTATCCTGTTGCAAATTTTCTCGCTGTCTGTATGTGTGTGGTTTTAATTTGTGAGCGTCGTTGATCCTTTTCGTTGCTGCTTTTGCTGTTGCCGTTATTGTTGCCGTTGGAACTGCCACGCCCAGCAGCGTGTCGCGCACGCCCACGCCCTGTGCTTGTTGCTGTTTGCTTCGCTACGTTTTGCATTGTTTGCATTTCCGCGTGATTTCACTTGCGAAATCGATCGATGCATTAAAACTGCAACTCATCGAACACCCGCCCCCCCGTTCTCAGGGAAATGCCTATTGTACGCATAGACCCCCTAGGCCGCACTCTGTTCCCCATGGCGGGTGCCACTTGATGGGCTTTTGTGCCATTTTAAATGATTTCATTTTGGATTTCATTTTGGCTTCTTGCCCCACCCTCTCCTTCCCAGCTCCACAACTCTTGCACTTAATGAGCTTTGGCTCTGCTGCTCATTTAATGTGCAACTGCGCTTAACTGCAGGGTACGTGTGGATGCGGGTGGTTCGTAGCTTACCTTGACTCATGCCAATGGGGGCCGTTGTCATTAAGCCATGGGCGGCTGTTTACAAATTCTATAAATTTTAGATCATATTATTGCTCTAGTTATATGGGCTGACACGTTTAGTTGTTAGTGCAGGTGTGGAAGTTACTTACATGTCCACTTGACGACTATACGTGTGTGGCTGTGTGTTGGATAGTTGCTATGGTATTTATGCTGCATTTATATTTGGAGCTCTTCGTGTATTTTTTGTGCCGTGTCAGTTTTGATTACATTCCGCGCTCGGGATGTCTATTATTTATTTACAAATTTGTCGAATTTCATTTTATAAAACGCTTAAAATCTTTTTCGATTGATGTAAATATACGAGTATAAACAAAGTACAGCATACTTTAAGAGCACACATTCGAATATGGTGGCTATACATTCCTTTTTTTTGTTTTGCTGAAATTAATGAAAAAATGTAAGTAGTTAAAGGTATTAATGCATGAAAGTCAAAGCTTTTGCTAAATTGTTTCGTCGTATTCAATCAATAAGCTCATAATAATTCTTTTAAGTAGCACTATGTCGCTTTATTTTGCATTATTTTCATGTTCAATCCCTTAAAGTCCAACAATAAAACATCATTATATTTCCATTCATTTTTTCATATTTATTTGGATTTTCGCATAATAATAATAATGTTTGTTTTATTAGTTATTTTGCATTATATACTTAACTTTTTCTTTTGTATTTGATTTGTTTTTACATTAAAATGTATGCTAGGAGTCTAAATAAAATAATTCCGAAGAGTTTTTTTTGTTTGTCGTATAATTCATTTGCCTTTTTTTGCGGTTTGTGTTTTTCTGCATTAATATTTAACAGCTATAAACAATTACATCGATTTAATAATATGTATATGTATGTTAATGTGACCATTTACGCTTTGAGATTACGTTGATAATTGAGAGAGTGTGTGTTTATGTGGGTGTGTGTGTGTGTGTATTACAAATAATAATAAAATAAATCTGACCAAATACTCGTAAACTGACCATAAATTATGGCAAATAAATGCTTGATAAATCAAAATGCCTTTGTTTGCTACAAAAATAGATTGCGAACAATATTGCTAGCATTACAATTAATTAAAATAATTGTGGTATACAAATAGCGAAAGCGATTAATTGCACCAAAGTGGTTTTGAATTTCAATTCAGCACAATTTAACAGCAATAGGATTTAAAAAAAAAAGAAAATGCAATTAATGGTTTTCACATAACAACAAATGGGCTTTGTGAGTTTCTATAAAAGTTTGTTTACATTTATTTGTTGACCACAAATTACAGAGAATTGTAATAGACTCGTATTCTATGATTAAATTTTAAGGCAAACTAATTTACATAAGAAAAATATTTGTCAACGTGCACGTATTAAAGTAGGAGGGGAGCTCAAAATAAACTGCAATATCGATTTTTATGAAAATTTCAAAAAGTGTTGAAAGCAAGAAAAAGTTGACTTCTCTTTTGAAACTGTTGACAATTATTTTGGAGGCTTTGTCTTTGGTTTATATGAACACTAGCACTGAAAGAGTATTATCTAGTTATGGCAAATTCTTTTGAAGCTACAAAGTCAGGCTTAAAGATAATATTCTCGAATCGCTTCGTGTTCAATTTAATTTGTTGTGTGCTGGCAGCCAAACTGAAGCTGCTTGCTATGGAATGCAAATGCTTGGTTCTGCCAACAATTGAAAGGAATGTTATCCGGAACTTGGACTGCAGCTGCAGACTGTTAAGGCTCTGTTAATGTAAGGAGAGAATCGAAATTGAAGCAGATTGATGTTAACTCTGTTAAAAATTGTAAGCACTTTGGAAAATGTTTGAATTTGAATTTGAATTTTAAAAGCAAGTATTTCTATTTAGGTATTTGAACATTTTGAGCTCCCCTCGCTATTATTTTAATTTTAAACTATAATTGCTTTATGTTTTGATATTTATTGCCAATATTATGAGTTTTTTCTTCGCATAGTCTGATAGAATTTGTATAATTTTTGTTTACGTCTAGAGTTAATGCTTAAAACATATTTATATACAGTGCTCAATGACTAAACATTAAAATTAAATTAAAATTTAAGCTAAATTGTAAATGGTAAAAAGAGAAAATGTCTAACTTGTTAACTCCAAATGGCTTTGTCGTTCTCGTATAGTAGGTAGAAGTATTTGGGGTTGGTGGGTCTTTCAACTCTTGCTTATATATTGTTCGAATAATTCTCTTGGTTGGGGCTGTGGATGGGGGCAGTGGGGAAAACACGCAGCATTTGCTACAAATGCATCATACACTTATAAATACATACATATAGGCATTGTAATTATTTATTTGGTAGTCATGTGTGTTACTGAAATGACATTTTTCACACCTCGTTTTCAAATGCAGCAAACAATGGATTTGAACATCAAATAAAGCTAAATTTGCAAATGAAAACAACAATGCTATTAAAAAGAAATTTGACTAGAAATTTAAAATTAAATTAATATTACAATAATAAAAAAGGCATGCCATTTGTTTATTTGTTGTTTCTTGTATCTGTGTGTGTAGGTGTTGAGCAATTTTTGTTTTTGATTCGTTTTCAATATGTGTATTGATGCTGCCGCATTACTTAAACAAAAACATTTCGTTTCATAGCATATATACGTATATATATAGTATTTAAACATTTTAAAATGTATAATTAAATAACATAACGTTAGTTCTTTAAAACTAAAATGCAGTCAATGTGTGTTTTGGAATTTTTCGCTTGCTCTACAAACATTACTCGTACATACATAATAATAGAGTTGCGTTCATTTTGTTTACTTTATAGTATATTTTTTCTATTATTATTTTCAAAATGTAATGAACAATGCTACAGTATTACTTGTATTTCATGAGATTTCATATTTTGTTATGTGTGTGTGTGTGTGTTTGCTTTGTATTTAGCATTTTGAGTAAAAGATGCGCGAAAAAGTCTCATTAGTGTTTATTCCTTAAATATTGTTTCTGATAAATTGTACAGCTATGTATTCAAGTTGATGATCATTTGAATTTAGAAAAAGACTTTTTTGTTTCACGCTTCGCTAAAAACATGTTGCGACTGAGCTGAAAATCATTGCGATATATTTTGTTTGCTTATTCACGTTTAGGGGATATGCAACTAAATTCACTTTTCGTTTGTGTTTCTGTTTTTTGTGTCCGTTTAACAAATCGTGCTGCCTTTTCGAAGCAGCTTAATACTTTCGATATTACATATACACATATGTGTGAAGTTCTTGGTTCGACCGACTTACGACAGCACATTATAGCTGGGCAACTGGGGCATCTGCTCGTGCTGCTTAGGGCAGCGTCCGTGCTTCTCTATATAGGTGCCATATTCGCAGGTCGGCGGCTTGCAGCGACCCTGCTGTATGCATCTGTGGAAAGTTAAGCAAGTTAGCTAGCTCGGTATTTGGTGATCAAATGGTGATCCTTCAGCTGCACTTACTTGCGATCTGTTATGGAGAAATGCTCGCTGCCACGCTTCAGCCAGTCGCAGCCATAATTGCCTGAGGAGCAGTCGCAGCGACAAAAGCCATCGTCCTGCAATATCTTCTCGAACGGTTTGGGGCAAGTGCAGCTCAGTATGGTAGCCCGTTGCAACACTGCGCTGGAGACGCCACCATCGGCTGCATATTTGCTGCGCTCCACGCAATGGCATTCGGTGTGATTCACAAAGGTCAGCTTTTCGGTAACAGGTCGTAGTTGATTATTGCTTTTAACCTGAAACAGAGAAGTTATAATTAAGCTTTACAATTTTAAGGAAGAGTTATCGATAGCAACAACGATATTAATCGAAGAAATCCTAAAAGTCAAGCGCCTTAGGCAATATCAACCGCCTTGTGTCTGTATTAGAATTAAAGATTTTAAATGACGGAAGACATGAGAGAGCTGATAATGCAATTTGAATTTAAGAAAAATTTAATCACAATATGAGGGAGCTGATAATTCAATTTGAATTTAAGTACAATTTAATCACAACATGAGGGAGCTGATAATTCAATTTGAATTTAACAACAATTTAACCACAACCAGCATGACAGAAGCATGATTAAATTAAGTCAAAGTTAACTTAAATTTAATAATTAACCTAGGACAGACCATAAAGATTAAAAAAGACTCTTTTATAGTATATTATGGAGTTATAATAATAAGTAGCCCTAATAATTAGGAAACTTGGACAATTGGCTTTATGGCTCGCCCAGGCTTAAATCCTATTACTCACCATCCAATGGCTAATGCAAGGGCACATTTGTTATGTCTTATCACCGAAAGGTAATGCTGGCAATTTGTGAACTCAGTCAGCACTCAATTGTATTTGGAAAGAAACGGCTTTTAGTGAAAATTTATATCCACACACTTAAATATTAAATTTGCCATTTCATTTAAGCCAGCAACCCAAAACTGAATGGAATATGAAGAAAACTTGAACAAGCAAATAATTCAATATGCAATTGAATCGAAAAGCTTACATGATCGATAAAATATTTCAAAAAAGGGATTTAAGCATTACATTCAATAAATGTGCAATGATTTATTTCAAATTTATTTATATCAAATAGGCATCAATGCTTTCCCAAAAGAAAGCATCTAATGAAGCAAATGTCAATATGCCTACAAGTTGTGGAACAAACAGCACATTTATTTAAAGCCTTATTCTATTTAGAGATCCAACTTCAAATGATGAAGAGCTGAAATTCAAATACAATTATTTCTATATTTAAAATAGCTTGCAGCTTAAAAATTAAAATAGTTTGATACGTTTAAGTTTCCTTCTATGAGTCAGTTCTTTACAGATTTTGAAAGCAAAGATGAGTTCTGTATCTTACGCTTCCCTCCCACCCTTGTTGCCATTTCCAATTAAGAGCTGAAGTTCTCTGAATTATGTCAGACAGCATTTGCATATTCCAATACAATGCCATATGCGTTTGTTCAGTATCTGTGTGCTGACAGTTTCTTAAGCTTGTTGCTCATCAAACTTGTCGTCGGTTGTTAAATTGTTATTGCTGTTGTTGTTCGTATGCTTGCCGGCAGAGCTGTTGTAGTTCTAAATGAGTTGTCACTTGTCAGTTACAGTGGCGACGACTATAACTCACAACTTGAGTTCAACTGCACACCCAATTCAGTGGTCCCATCTATGTTTGGAGTATGACTGTCATTAGCAGGCGGCAAGACAGTTGGCTGCCTTTCGGAACGGGGCAACGAATTTGCCTCGCATGACAAGTGCAAAATGATGAAATGCGTATGAATTGCATAAATTAAGTGAATTCGTTTAATTAAAGTTACAAGCGTGTTATTAATCATGCAAAGAGCAGTAAGCAATAAGCAGGCCAGCCAACCAAACAAACAACTCTATTCAAAATAAACAAACTTCGATTCGATGGTGTACCTATTTGTATTCCTAAATTTTGCTGAAATACGATTCATTTTTTTTTAAAGCTCATTTCAATTTAATTTCAATATGTGAAATGTCTTCAAACATTTACATCTGATAGATCTGATATAAAATGAAGTAAAATATATAAAGTGTTGTTTGCATGTTTAAGAATTATACAAACTACTATTTCTTATAGAAATCTTTATTAATAATTTCAATTAACATATATACGTAATGTGTGGTTCCTATAACTTTAGCTTTTCAATACGGATGAGTTTTTTAAAAATATTAATGCCTATTTAAAATAAGTTTAGAGTTTTTCAACTAACATATAACTATAGTATTTCAATATGGATGGGCTTTTTAAAAATAGGGATGCCTATTTAAAATAAGTTTTAGAGCTAACAAATTATTATAATAATTTCAATGCAGAACTATCACAAACAAGGGGAACTCTTGACCACGATCTTCTTCTTCTACGCTTCACGCTCGATTCTGGTTTGTATCGATAATTGCAAAAGAATTGAAACCATGCCAGGGCTACTAGTAAAGTGCCGCCCTACTTTCCATATCCTACATCATTTCATATATTTCAATAAATTCTGCAGTTTAAAACACTTGGACCTATTTATTCTTATTACATGTGATTGCCATGAGGAGTTGTTGTTGGGAAAATACTTCAGTTGGAAAACATAATAGTTGTTTACTCATTTCCTGCTGCAATCAACTCATTTTTCTTGCTAACAATATATTCTGGAATGAACAATAGCATTATAGGGCTTCATAAAATGTTTGCAAAAGCATATAATACTTACTTTCCCCAATTTTTTGCTGTGTTTTATGTTTTGTTGAAATGTGCCATAATATTTTATATAAGAAACTCATATTCAAAAAACAAGTGCCGTTTTTAGAGCGTAGGTGTGCTGCTTTTTGTGTGCGTGTGTGTGGGAAATGCTTATGCAAATTTGTTGGTGCAACGAATTGAAAAAGTTTTCATGCTTGTTGGCTCGGCACGCAACTTGGGTTTTTTGTGTTTTAAAAAACATGGCAACATAAAATGCAAGAAAATTGTAGCAGGCTTCTGCATAATAGTTATGAGGCACAAAAGTGCAACAGCAGCAGCAGCAGCAGCAGCAGCAACAACAACAAGAACAACAGCAGCAGCATTATAATTGCCGGAAACGGAAGTGCAAAGTGCTGCTGGGATTCTTGTTGTTTCTCTATTTTTGTTTGTTGACGGCGCAGGCGCTGCAGCCGCATTCAGAATTGCAGCAAAGTGGTTTACCACCACAAACTATATGCCTATATTAAGATCTGCCATATATAGTACTTGCATATATACAGTTTTGCACAAGATGGCGTCAGCAATTGCAAGTGTGTGTGTGTGTGTGTGTGTGTGTGTGTGTGTGTGAATGTGCAGTCTAATTGAGGTTATGTCGCATGTAAATAGTCAGCACTCATGTGTGAGCGCACTTTGGACCAAGCAATTAGTCAGTTATTGGTGCTGAAGATGAAGGGCGTTGCAACGGGGGTGTAATTGGAGGCGGCAGCCAAGCGCAGAGACGCAGGGGGAGAGCATGCAATTGTGCGCCCAAATGTGCCGCAAGCAAGGGCAGTATAAAATGTAGTAAAAACTTAATATGTTTGGGGCCGTGCGTCCTTTCAAATGGGCGCGTTTAAGTTGTTGAGGGATGTGGTGAGTGTGTGTCCTGCCGCTGCCCAGGATGGGTCATGCATGAACGACTAGCAACAAAAGAGTAGAAAAGTGCATGGAATTGGATGTGCAGTATGCTTGCATGCATATTAAACGAATGTACAAAATTTGAAGACTTAAATTTCTTAAATAAAAACCACATTTCAATTTAGGGTGTGCTGCTACAAGATTTGATTAACGTATTAGTTGTATTAGATAATATCTCAACAATAAGCCGAATAACTATTGTGTCAGATTAGAAGACTGGATCTTGAATTCCAACAAATGAAAGGTCGCTCTGCAGTTAGTGATCGAAATTGTGAAATTGTGAAGTGCAGATCATCAACACCAGGCATTACAATATTGTTAAACAAGATAAGTAGGAAGAGTATTAAGATTAAGGAACTAACAATCTGAACAAACATTTCAGCGTACTCTTTTAAAAAGACACATTTGAGGCAAATTGGAAATGTCGTGCCAACTTAGAATATAAAAGTGGGGCTTAATATCCAACGATGGAAATGAACATGAGTTGATAACTTTTGAAGAAGGCCGCATTGCTCGACTGGCACTACCAAGGCCATCATGCCATGCTTTTTTTATGATAAATTAATTAATATGAAAATTATTTGCATTGTGCCAAATCGAACTGCGTCTAAGAAAGAGTGATTTCAAGTCGTGGATAAGGCAAAGTTTGTATGAAAATATACACGAAAAAATGCTATTAATGCTTAGAGACCCTACTTACCTGAACACTTTAAAAATTAATGGCACGACAAAGATTATGCAAATAATGTAATCACTTTTCTTCTATCATAATTAAGTAAATTTTATATCCAAAAAGGGTGAGCAACTTTACTGAATTTTATAAATTCCATGATCAAAAGATGGAAATTCTCTAGTATTCCAAAAACTCATTATATACTTGTATGTAGCACAACTTTAAGTCTTTTTTAATTAAATTTACAAAATTACAAAAAACTTGAAATGTCTAATACAGCTGAAGTATATTTTGTTAAATTTTTCACACAAAATACTTTCAAAACTGTTTGCGATTTTTAATTTAAATTAGAGCACCTTCAGCATTAAAGCCTGTTCCTTAATTTGCTTTCATTTGCTTTCTGGGTATTAAAAGTTTATCTATCGACTATCGATGGAACATGGTGGCTGTCAACTAAAAACAGATATCAAAAGAAGCACTTAAGTTGCATTAATGAATTCTACCTAAGATACTTTTTAGTTATCACTGTGTCACTGTTAGTCCAGCTTCAGACCCACTGAAGCGGTGAAAAGAAATTGCTAGTTTGGAAGAGCAGCGCTGAGTGGCAGCATTGCTGGAAACACAACCAAGTTATGTTTAAATCCAAGCAGTCATTTCGCAAAACGCTCAGCTCTGCGCAAATCCAAACATGCCACGCTAAGTGTCAACGGGTAATTGGCATTAGGTTTGCTCTGAAAGTTTTCCCACTCAAATACATATCCCCCATGAGTCCGCAACACGCATTGCAGCTGAGCATTATGGGGCTTTGCTCCTGTTTGTGTGTCAAATGTCTACGTGGTCGCTCCTTCTGGGCCAAAAACCACCTTCCACCTGCCCAGCAACTGATCTGTCAAGCACACACACACATACATTGATTTGGGCCATAGAAATTG